CACTATTTATTACTCTCCTATTTTGATCACATCTGCAGATTTGTCGGTAAACTCTAAACATTTTGGGTTTAGTCTGATCTCAAGAATTCAATGAAAACCAAAATTACTTTTTTATTTCATTTGAATTCGTTTTAAAGTTTAAGAATTCAAGAATTCATTGCACGCTCTCGTAATGCATTCATATTATTATAATAGATCGCGAAATATTTCGCATAATAATTGTATAAATTTATAATTATGATCAAATAAATCATTAGGATGCCGATTAGTTTATTAACATTATATCAATCAATTTTAATATTACATTTTAGTACAATAAAACAAAATACACAATATATTAGACAACAGGACAGTAGGAAAGGCCTTCATGTTGTTGTGACTTAAGAGGAGCCAAATTCCAGTAACGACACCGAAGGAGACGGGCAGCGGCTTTGGGCTGTCTTTCCCGAGTGAATATACCCTTCCGATTGCCAATTATTCTATCTGTACCACCATCTGAAGTTTGGGTCGGAGGGTTTGGTTGATGACCTATAAACCAATTTATAAAATTCAATACTAATTTATAACATGGTAAATGTTTTCAAACTCTGTCCGGTCATGAAGTCAGCGAAATTCCAGACCAGTTCCCCGACAAAGAAACCCTCTTTTCTGAGTCCATCAAACGCTTTGTGATAATTCATTAGAAACTCGGATTCATAGTCTTCGGAGAATACATATGAAGGTTCCTAAGGGTGTGGTTTAGGTTAGTATCTAATTGTGAGAATTGGTTATTTATTAGGCATACCATATGTATACCGGCTAAAGTGTCGGCGCCGTACTCGGAGATCATAATTGGCTTTTTGTGTTGATTATACCAATTATTAAAATCAGTGGTCACTTGCTTTTCAATGACTTGCGGATAACCACAGTCTGAATACCAGCCGTAATACCTGTTAATCATAATCACATCTAATGTAGGTGCTAGATTGTCGGTCTTATAGTTGGCATCAGTGGCAGCAGTTATGGGACGGGTTTTGTCAAGACTTCTTGTGTGAGCCGACACTTTCTGGAAATAGTCTTTTGCTGCGGGTTTATCTGAACTTGGTTCATTAGCAATGGACCACATGACCACTGATGGCCTGTTTTTGTCCCTCTGAATCATTTCAGAGATTGTCACCAAATGTTGTTTTAGTAGGACGTCATCAAAAGAAGCCAACTCTACAGCCGGACACTCATCGATGACGACAATCCCCTCTTCGTCCGCCA